TCTTCTTATCTAAAACCTGTTCTTTCAGCTTAGGGCTGATAGGTTTGCCATGTACCTGTTCTCCCTGTCTGGGAACTCTACTACTTAAATAGATATATAATGCTTTCATGTCCTACTCTGGAGAATTGACCTGGAGGGAGAGGGGTAGATATACTGTGAGCCTGTAACACAGGTGTTCTCCTGCATTGTCTTGATCCCCTGTGGTTGTCATAGTCTAAGCCTATGTTGGGGGATATTTGTTCAGATTGGTGTATTGGTCCCTAGGCCAACATTGGAAGCTCAGGCAGAGGACTGTGTAAGTTCCTCTCCTCAGAGGTGAATGGTGTGAACTTTGGCAGTGCCAAGGTGGGTTGTGGGATCTGGGCCAAGGCTGGATGATCTTCATATGGAGTGATTTGTTGGTCCATAGGTCAGTGTTGGAAGCCCAAGCAGGGGACTGGGTGAGTTGTTCTCCACTGAGTTGGACATTGCAGGAGATTGCTCTGCCCCAGTCTCCCTGTGGTGGTGGCAGTAGCTCTTTGGCAAGGTTGTATAGGCAGTGGCCATAGGTGTCAGGGCTGTGGCATTCACTCCATTAAGGTCTAGGTGTAATAGCACTATGTGGGGTGGAAGGAGGCAGTTTGTGGCTAGCGGGTCCATGATGGCGAGCTGGACTGTAGATGTGGCATTACACAGTGCCATGGGGGGGTTGCCCAATAGTTGTTGCACAGGGCCGGGGGCTTGTTCTGCTGGTTGGTGCTTGGAGCTATGGGGGCATGACCAGCTGGTTGGCACACAGGTTTATGGGGGGGCATGGACCTCTGCTTGGCACCCAGATCCATGGCGGCATGGGCCTCAGCTGGCAGTGCACAGGTCAGGTTGCTTGCTCCACTGGTCAGGGTGTGGGGCCGTGGGAGATGGGCTGCTGGATGCCTGGGGTTCTCCTACCACACAGGTCCTACCGAGGCTGTTACCATGAGACCTCTTGAGCTCCACTCAAATTCCTGGGGCGGGGGTGCTAGGCTTCTAGTCACAGGTGTGCGAGAGCATCTGCCCTTCCTGCTCCCTCCCCAGACCAGCAAAGGGTGATGTTGGGGCAGCTGCAGCAAAGTCAATCCTTGCGTAGACCGGGAGCTCTGGACCTAAGTGCTCAGAGTGGCATCAGCTACTATAACCTGGGAGCTGAGACCAGCAGGTCCCTGCTGAGCCTGCCGGCTGATGCAACTTTACTATACAGTCTCCAAGCAGTTCCCTGATCAGTATGGAGGCCCATGGTGGTGGTGGGGGGGGTGGTAGTGGTAGAGGGTCCCCCCCCTCAAGTCACAGTGTCCACATGGGGAGCATGGGGCTCTGGGCTTCTTGCCTCTATCCCCTCCCCACATGTAGGTATCTACCCCAGGTACCTTCTGCTCTTGGTGGATGGAACTCCCCATCCCCATTTCCTTCACTCTGAGTGTCTCCTGTCACTCCTATAGTGATTTACAATTTCTTTCCAAGAGGGTCCTTCCATAGGTGGGCATCCACTTGCAATTTTCAATCCCCTCTCAGAAGTGGTGTGTGAGGGCTACTTCTAGTCCACCATCTTGCCATCTGCCCCCCCATAAACTATTTTCTGTTCTGGTAACAAAGATAGAGCCATTTACTTCCTAAGTAAGTGAAGAATAAATTATCACATGGGTACTATTTTCAGTTATTGTTTTTTTATTTTATTTTATTTTATTTTGATAGATTTAGGGGTACAAGGGGTTTTTGGTTACATGGATGAATTGTATAGTGGTGATGTCTAGGTTTTTAGCATACCCATCACCTGAATGGTGTACATTGCATTCAATAGGTAGTTTTTCTTCCCTCAATCTTTCCCATCCTCCCTCTTCTCAGTCTCCACTGTCCATTGTACCACTCTGTATGCCCCTGCATACCCATAGCTTAGCTCCTACTTGTAAGAGAGAACATGGATGGTATTTGGTTTTTCATTCTTGTGTTACTTCACTTAGGATAAGGGCCTCCAGTTCCATTCAAGTTACTGATGGTTTTTTGTTTTTTCAAATGAAACTTTTTTTATGTTATAGTTACTTTTTGCATGTATAGCCTTTGGGAATAATTTAATAAAGCTTATAAGTCTCTGAAAGAGCAGGAATTATTAAGACTTGAGGAGAGATTTAGTCAGTTTTGTATCTTTCCCTAGTTAGGAGTGATTTCCTTCTCAGGGACAAATTGAAGTTTAATTTTTTCATCCCAGTGGGGTGAAAATTTAAGAACAGTGAGATACAAAAACCAGTCAAAGGATTTTATGAATCCTTATTTTGCCTTCTAACCAGAACATGAAAATGATATTAAACATTTTTCATATTGGATGTATATTAGAATGTCTTTCAACTCCACCTGAAAATGGAAAACTTTGTGTTCAAGTGACTGACTCTCTGGCACAAGGCAGCAAATTGCTTTTTCTTGTCAGGGTTTTCAGGGGTAGTGGGAAAACAATA